TAACAACAGCTGATATTGGCTTTCTCCTATCTGCTGAGTGGATAGCATCATTGGCTCACTTTACACAGGAGGCACAGAGAAGTTAAGTGCTTTGCTGTAGGGTACTGGCAGAGCCAGGATTTGAACCCTGGCTGATCTGACTCTGGAGGCAGGCTCTTCAGCTTCCCTCTACTAAGGTTTTGTTTTCTTTTTGTGTGTGTGTGTGTGTGTGTGTTTGTGATTTTTTGAGGCAGGGTTTCTCTTTGTAATAGCCTTGGCTGTCCTGGAACTCTCTTTGTTAGACCAGGCTGGCCTCGAACTCACAGAGATTGTCTGCCTCTAACTCCTGAGTGCTGGGATTAAAGGTGTGTGCCACCACACCTGGTTTGTTTGTTTGGTTGGTTTTTGTTTTTTTTGGGGGGGGGTTGTTTTTTTTTTTTTTTTTTTTTTTTTTTTATTTTCAAGATAGGGTTTCTCTGTATATCTTTGGAGCCTGTCCTGGAACTCACTCTGTAGCCCAGGCTAGCCTCGAACTCACAGAGATCCACCTGCCTCTGCCTCCCAGTGCTGGGATCAAAGGTGTGCACCACCACCGCCCAGCCACACCTGGTTTTAATTATTATTTTATGTGTGTGGGTGTTTTGTCTGAAAGTGTGTATGTACACTGTGTGCACGCATTGCCTGTGAACACCACAAGAGGAAAGAGGGCATCAGATCCCTGAAACAGAAGTTACAGATGGCTGTGAGCCTTCATGTGGGTGCTGGGAGCTGAACCCAGGTCCTCTGGAAGAGCAGCCAGTGCTCTTAACCACTGAGCCGTCTCTCCAGCCCCCACATGTTTTGCTCCAGCAGTTGCGGCCCACAGTTGGCTGTTGTATGAGGGTTGAACTGAAAACTGGAAGACTAGGGGACTGAATTTGTTTGTTCTAGAATGTACCAGGCCAGAAGGACCAAGGGAGGATTGGAGGGCCTCTGAACCCAGGTGGTCAGATCAGTCCTGTCCACGTCCTGCCAGGCCCTCTGGCCATGGCTTCCCTGAGTTCCCAGAGGAAGGGACACAAGACTTCACTCCTACACCTCTCCCCTGGTCACTCTTTGAGGACACCACCATCCCGGCCTAACTGCTGACCAAGCCTGTGGTTCCCGGGCCTGTACTCTTGCTACCATCTGGGTCCATGAGAAGAGCAATGACCTTACCTTCCAAACACCCACAGTCAGGAAGCTGGCTGAGACCTAAGAACTGGGGTCTCTTAGAGGACCCCCACACAGAGCATCTCATGCATAGGCCACTCCCAGGGATCCCTAGACGGAGGTTCTGGCCCTTAGGAACCTGGTCACAGTGAGTTGCTCTTTGGCAGCCTGCAGTCAGCCTACATTGACAGAAAACTGCCTACAGGGTATTGCAGGAGCCACTCACCAGCCTACAGCCCCTTGGAAGCAAGTTCACCTTCGTCTCCAGGTCAAGCGTATCCTGCTGTCTTCTCCTAAATAGCAGGGTTGCTAACTCTGACATTCAGGAAGTTAGAGGCAAATTTAAATCCTAGGCGAGTTACCGTGGACAAGTCACTTAGCTCGGGGGACCTCTGTTTCTCAGAACTGACTTCAGGAACTTCCGTTCACCCCGTTGGGTTCCAGGCTCCACTCTCGCTTCCCTCTTTTCATTTTTCTCCTGCTTATTTTAATACTTGTAGATTCTTTTTTACATTTTTATTACTATTTTGTTCCTGGAGATCCATTGCCCTCTACTGGCCTCTGCAAGCACCAGGCATTCACAGTAGTAAATACTCATACAAATAAAATATTTTTTAAAAAAGAAGATTCCCTGGGCCAACAGAACTCCAAGCTAAATCCTGTTCATAGCAGAAGCTCACATTCCCCAGCCTTATATTTCTGTGTCTAGACAACCCAGATCTCCAGACTGGTCAGCTAGGTGCCTGGCACCCAGAGGGAGGACAAGGGGTTAGAGCAGGGAGGGTTTGATGATAATGCAGAGTGAAGGACTTTCAGGACAGCTGGCCAGGAGGTACAGGAGAGAATGAGTACCTGAGAAGGGCGGGTGACGGTCACGTGACCCTCCAGACCCCTCCTATGTAGGGCTTTAAACAAGCCTGACTGGAGGGGGTGCCCTATGAGAAGTTACATCTACTCCGAGGCAGTGATCTGTTCCACTTGGAGGATAGCTTCCACAACAGTTCCTTCTAGACTTTGCTCCAGGCCGTTGCCCCCGCCCTCAGCCCCCTTCCCCTTGGCCGACTGTGTGTGTGTGTGTGTGTGTGTGTGTGTGGTAGGGAGGTTCTGCAGACCCGCAAGAGCTGCTCTACGGATAGAGCCCAGGAAGATGGCAGTGGGAAGCAGAACTCGGTTCTTGTTCCAAGGTCACCGAGGGGTCCGGAAGATGCTCGCCCGGCAGGCGTACTAGCCTCCATCTAACCACCCGTGCCACTTCTGCCCACAGGTAACCCTCCACGGCCTAGCCCGGAGCCAGAGGAGCCACGGCGGTCCGGGCCCACTGAGCGGGGCAACAGCTCGGGGACTCCCAAACTGATCCAACGTGCGCTGCTTCGGGGCACGGCTCTGCTGGCTTCCCTGGGTCTTGGCCGTGACCTGCAGCCTCCTGGAGGCCTGAGCCGTGAACGCGGGGAGCCCCCACCAGCACCACCCCCTGCACAGATGCCCTCACCCTGCCCAGCCGAGATGCCCTCCACCCCGCTCATCCGCCTCTCACCCACAACACCCAATGTCCGTGGCCCACCCACTCCTGCACCCTTATTGCTGGACCTGGGTGTTCCCTCAGGCCAGCCGTCAGCCAAGAGCCCTCGGCGGGAAGAGACACGTGGTGAGTGACCCTAAGACTGAGTGTGAGATAGAGGCCCTCTGAAAAGGGAGGAGGCTAGGAACTTAGAGGATCTCAGGCAGCTGATGGGGACCCAAAACAGAGCCTTAGGCGCTGGGACCACTGGTAGAGCTCTAGGCTCAGCTGTGAAATAATAGAAACCTCCCTAATGGTGCCAGACTCATTGATTAGTTAGGCCAGGTACTGTAACCATTACAGTACTTATAATCTGTGTATCAAGCATTCTTTTTTAATTAATTTATTTTTATGAGCATTGACTTGTGTTCTGCCTGCATGTATGTCTGTGTGAGGGTGTCAGATCCCCTGGAACTGGAGTCACAGACGGTTGTGAGCCACCATGTGGGTGCTGGGAATTGAACTTGGGTCCTCTGGAAGAGCAGCCAATGTTCTTAACCCCTGAGCCATCTCTCCAGCCCCGTATCAAATATTCTTTATTGTTTTGTTTGTTTGTTTGTTTGTTTGTTTTTTCGAGACAGGGTTTCTCTGTGTAGTTTTGGTGCCTGTCCTGGATCTCGCTCTGTATCCCAGGCTGGCCTCAAACTCACAGAGATCTGCCTGGCTCTGCCTCCCGAGTGCTGGGATTAAAGGCGTGCGCCACCACCGCCTGGCCCCTCAAACATTCTTATACCCAGTTTTCAGATGAAGTACTTTTATTTGATTGTTTGAAGTGGGGTCTCCCTGTATAGCCCAGTCCTCCTGTCTCAGCATCCCAAGTTATGAGATGACAGGCATGTACCACCATGCCAGGCTAAATGAGGAAATTAATTTGTTTTGACATGTGTTTGTTCAGTGTGGGGGGCACACGCCACAGTGCAAATATGGATGACAACTTACAGGTATTCTCCTGCCACCACCTGGGTTCCAGGGTTTGAACTCAGGTCGTTAGTCTCGGCAGCAGGCACCCTTAACTGATAAGCTGTCTGCAGCGTAGATGAGGAAAAGTTAAGGAACACAGAGCATATAGATGTAAAGGCTCAGGGCTCCCACGGCCCTGAGCAGTCTAGAACAGCCTGGTTCTGCAACACTGTGTAATGGACAGACTCGTCATAGAGCATGAAGCACCTTAGAATCATAGCTTACAGTATAGCTAGAAGCTTAGATCGGAGCAGGGCAGTTCCTTCTGGGGAACTGTTAGTAGATGTTTAACCGTGTACCCCTTCAAAACTCCATAGGAAGAACTGTCTCACCCCCACCAGGAATATCACGCTCTGCTCCTGGCACCCCTGGAACCCCTCGATCACCACCCTTGGGCCTTATCAGCCGACCTCGGCCCTCACCACTCCGTAGCCGTATTGACCCGTGGAGCTTCGTGTCAGCTGGGCCACGGCCTTCACCCCTGCCCTCTCCACAGCCTGCGCCCCGACGGGCACCTTGGACCTTATTCCCAGACTCAGATCCCTTCTGGGACTCCCCACCTGCCAACCCCTTCCGGGGAGGCTCCCAGGACTGCAGGACGCAGACCAAAGATATAGGTGCTCAGGCCCCATGGGCACCAGAAGCAGGGCCTTGAGTGGGCCAGGCCACACCCCCGCGCTCCAGCTGCCTTAGAGGAGGCATAGCATACACTGGAAGAGGAGCCAGGCAGGCCTCTGTGGCTGCTTTGGTTTCCCCCAGGGACCCCGGCCCCTTGGGGGGGTCAGGAACACTACACTGCACAGAAAGCCTTCACACTGGATGGGGGGCCACACCCCACATACCTACAACCTGTAGGCCCCCTGACTTACCTGCCCCACTGGGGCCTGACACTGTACCTAGCTGGTTGGGAGGACCAGAGCCTGTCTCAGGGAATTGCCCCGGAAGTGGTGCAGGGAGGAGGGGGAGGTACAGGGGAGAGGGGCTGACCTCAGGTGTCACCAGCACTTTTGACCAAGTCCTGTTACTGTGGCCCCTGTCCCCAAGGCCTAGTTCCTGGACCCCCTTCCCTGGAGGTTATCAGAGCCGGGGCCCTCTGGGTGCCTTTCTCCTGCCCCAGCCAAGGTTGGGGCCTTGGCCTGGGGAGCCAATGAAGCCAAATAAACTCGTAAGCTGTCTCCCCAAATGCAGTCTGTCACCTTTCTTGGAGGTAACCCAGTGTCCTTGTCCTTATGCCCCTAAAACAATGAGCAGATAAACAGCCTGAGACAAATCTAGAATGCCTGCACCACACTTCTCTCCTAGGGCCCATCTCAGCCTCCCCAGCGCTACAAATACCGACGATCTCCTCCACCTTCTGACCATCGCCAGCCTTTGTCCACTCCACGTTCTCACTTGAGCCAGTTCCGCCATTCAAGTGAAGGTTCACCCTGCTGCTCCCTGCTGGGTGGTCACTGCCAGTGGGGGCCCAGCTGCAATACCATCATCTCTAGCAATCCTTCTCAAGCCATGCTGTCCCCACACTAGGTAGATCTCATGCCCATAGCCTCTGGGAAATATCTTGAGGGTTTGCCCTGGATTTGCCTATGGCCTGGATCTAGACAGAATAAGCATGCCCACCAGGTATCGCACGCCCACCAGGTATGGCAGTGACCTACCCTGGCATTCTCAACACTGCTTGGAGCTTCTGTCTCACCTACTCCCACCCACTGCCTTAGGCCAGGGTCCCTCCATGGTTTATGAGTGAACCCACGGACACATGGCAGCCATTCCTGGTCTGTGGTCCAGCCAGGCAGAGAGGCAGGAGGTCCCCAGCAAAAGCTGGGGTAGGAAGTTTGGCACCTGCCAGAGTGCTGCTACCTCATTTTCTCCACAACTACTTCCAACTAATCCCACAATTCTTTCCCACCCTCTGCCTAGACCACCACTGTTCCCCCCAGAGTGCCATAGAACCCTCTAGAGATTTCCCTGGGTCCACTGTCCCCAAAAGCCTATGTCCTCAGACCCTTCCTTATGGTTAGTCTCTTGATTACTATGACTGACTTATGAAATTTTAAATTTTTTAATTTTATTTTGAGACAGTCTTACTCTGTAGCCCTAACTGACTTGGAACTCACTATGTAGATCAGGTTGGCCTCGAACTCACAGAAATCTGCCCTTCTGCCTCCCAAGAGCAGGGATTGAAGGTGTGTGCCATCACACTCGGCCCTATATACTTTTTTAAAATACATATGGATGGTTGTTTTGCCTGCATGTATGTCTTCACCACAAGTGTGCCTAAAACTGGAGGGAGCAAGAAGAAGGGTCAGAGCTGGAACTGGAGTCACAGGCGGCTGTGAGCTGCCAGGGATCAATCCCAGGCCCTCTGGAAGAGCAGCCAGTGCTCTTTACAGCGGAACCATCTTTTCAGCGCCACAACTGGCTTTTGTTCTGTTCTATTTTTCCAGACAGGGTTTCTCTGTGTAGCTCTGGCTGTTCTGGAACTCGCTCTGTAGACCAGGCTGGGCTCAAACTCAGGCTTGCCTCTGCCTTCCGAGGGCTGTGATCAAAGGTGTGCGTTACCACAGCCCGGCTCCTAACTGGCTTCTTATTCTCTGGTTGAAATATTACTTCCTTCAAAGAGTTTTCCTGAGAAGCTTGCTCTCCCTGGTGGTTTCTCAGCAGATTTCTTGTATGAGCACCAGGAGGGGAGAAACCCGTGTCTGCCCTCTTCCCTGAATGAGTGAACTGGAGTGGATACACGGCTGAGGGACTGTGACTGTGAGCAGGTGTGAGGCTCTCTCCAGGCAGCATTTCTCACCCACTCTTCCACCACAGCGCCTCCCTCCACCTCCCCCCAGTGCCTGGCTGCCATGTCTGGCCCCAGAAACTGGGAGGCTCCATCTCACCTCCCTCCATTCACACCCCAGTCATCTCAGCCACCTACCCACGCAGCACCTCCTCCCAGCCACGCCCTTTGCCACCCCTCCCTGGGTGGCTCTGGTGACTTAGCCAGCTCCCTCGCCACCCCAGACTCAGTTCCATGCCATGGGGAGTCTGAAACCATGGGCCAGATACCTGCTCCTGGTTGTGGCCCACCTGCTGGCCCTGAGCCTTGGGGCTGTGGTGCTTCAGGCCTTGGAGGGCCCCCCAGCACTCCAGCTCCAGGCCCAGCTCCAGGCTGAGCTGTCTACCTTCCAGGCAGAGCACAGGGCCTGCTTGCCACCTGAGGCACTGGCGGAGCTGCTAGGTGCCGTCCTGAGAGCACAGGCCCACGGAGTCTCCAGCCTGGGCAACGACTCAGAGGCAAGCAACTGGGATCTGCCCTCAGCTCTGCTGTTCACTGCCAGCATCCTCACCACCACCGGTAGGCCACCACCACCAGGCAACCTAGGAGGAGGCTCTGAGGGCCCTAGAGCGCCGCCCTTCCCCCATCCCAAAGCTCCAGACAAAGCCAAGGCTCTATCAGGCCTGACATCACAACTGGGGCTCCCCTACACCACACACCCCAACTGGTGCCTCCACTTAAGCTGCCAGGAGGGGTGTGGCCTCCCCAACCCCACCCCTATGCACTCTGAATCCAGGAGAGAAGCCCAGATCACATGGGCCTGAAGCCAGGCAAAGAAGACGGCAGGGTGGGAGAGATTCTTGGATGGAGAGATGCTGTAGGAAACACAGCTTAGGCACCCTCTGAAGAGGGTGAGGGGAGGAAGTACTGATGTGCTCTGAGCCCAGGGTTGATGAAGTTCCTGGCTAGGAGAACAGCATGTGCTCAGGCACAGGGAAATAAAAGTCCTAGGGTTTGGTTTGGTTTGGTTGTCCTGCAAATAGTCTAAACACTTGTTAAAGTGAAATGTGTATTTCTAACTTCTTTTCCAACTGGCTGGAGCAGAATGGGACCTGCCTCTAGAACACATGCCCTCTGGCCCACCCAGTCCTCACTGCTCTCTTTCCTCACCTCTGATTCCTATGAGCTCTGGAGTTGACAACCTGTAAACCCCGTTGATCCTGTTCTCCCAGCGTGCCCCACTCTCCCACCTCTCCTTCACTTGCGGCTGTTCCTCTGCCTCTGACTGCGGTTTTCAGAACTTCTGAATTTCTTGCTTGCGTCCCCCACTGTAAACCAGGGTCGGGCAGGTTTAGATTCAATGTGGCACAAGATACGGCACACAGAAAGATGGCTACACATGTGGGGAGTGACATCAGACGGCACCCCACGGGGTGTAGATTTGGAAGTATTGGTTAAGAACAGAACTGATAAGCTTCAGGATGGCGGTGTCAGGCTAGGAGTACATCAGTTTAGAGCCCCTGCCTAGAATGCACGAGGCTCTCTAGGTTCCCTCTGAAGTACGGGGAGAGAGGAAGGGCCTATCAAAGAGAGAACATCAGTTCTAAGTTGTTCCAGCTGCAAAAGGCCTAGGGGAATGTCTTCAGGATTAATTTTCCAGAAAAGACAACAGGGACCTGCCCACCATCCATCCATCCAGTCAAAGAGGATCCCAGCCTGAAGCGTTCATGTCATTTGGCTACCAAAAGGCAGACTTCCGTGGGAGAAGATGGAGAAAAATGTGACCCCCACAGGCATCCCACATCGAAAGCTTGCTGCCCGCATTTGCTCTTTTGCAGGTTATGGCCACATGGCCCCACTGTCCGCGGGTGGAAAGGCCTTCTGCGTGGTCTATGCAGCCCTCGGGCTACCAGCCTCTCTAGCACTTGTGGCTGCCCTGCGCCACTGCCTGCTGCCTGTGCTCAATCGCCCGGGTGCCTGGGTAGCTGTTCGCTGGCGGTTGGCGCCAGCCCAGGCCGCCCTGCTCCAGGCAGCAGGACTGGGCCTCCTGGTGGTCTGTGTGTTTGTGCTTCTGCCAGCGCTGGTGCTGTGGGCTATCCAGGGTGACTGCGGCCTGTTGGAAGCCGTCTACTTCTGTTTCGGCTCACTCAGCACTATCGGCCTAGGGGACTTGCTGCCTGGCCGTGGACGTGGCCTGCATCCAGCCCTTTACCATCTCGGACAGTTTGCCCTTCTTGGTGAGTCCAGAAAAGAGGAGGGTAGAGGAGCCTCGACTACAACTCAGGACGAGATCCTACCCTAGGGCACAAAGTGGGTGTTGTAGTCCAAAGAATTCTGGGGGCCATGCTGGGAGTTGCAATAGTACCAGGGTGGATCATCACACTGGGAAGTGGGTGGGGAGCACTGTGAGCATCCTAAGAGCTGCCCTAACTCTTCTCCCCAGGTTATTTGCTCCTGGGGCTCCTGGCCATGCTGTTAGCGGTAGAGACCTTCTCAGAGCTGCCACAGGTCCGTGCCATGGTAACATTCTTTGGGCCCACTGGCCCTAGAACAGATGAAGACCAAGATGGCATCCTAGGCCAGGATGAGCTCGCTCTGAGCACCACGCCTCCTGACCCCCCAGCATTGGAGCAAACCATTCCAGCATCAGAACAGACCCCGGCTTGCTAACACAAATCGGGGGACAGGGCTCCAGCTCCTTACGGTGGAGGACCTTGAGCAGGAGTCCCTGAGGGGTGCTCGGGGAGCACAGCAGGAAGGGGTTGTGGGTACCAGGATGTCAGGGGATAATGTTAATTTAAATAATTAAATGGGCTGCTTAACACCCACCAGGAGGCTCTGGGCTCAATCTTCCCACACCGGAAAGGAAAAGAATTCAAATGTGGGAGTACATGTACATCAACCAAAAAAAAAAAAATCTACTGTGGGGGTAGGGATGTGGGGGGTTTGCACTCACGTGTGGAGGCATGGAGCATGTCTGGAGGTCAAAGGACAAGTTTGTGGATTTGCTTCACTCCTGTTTGCCTTTAGGTGGTTCCAGAGATTGAACTCAGATTCTCAAGCTTGCCCAACAAATGGTTTTATCCACTGGGCTATCTGAATGACCCATTTCAACTTTTTTTCTTTAGAACAATGTAAATCAGGCTGGCCTTGAATCCACAGAGATCGATCTCCCCAATGCTGGGATTAAAAATATGTGCCTCACCTTTAATCCCAGCACTCGGGAGGAAGAGGCAGGCAGATCTCTGAGTTCGAGCCCAGCCTGGTCTACAAAGCGAATTCCAGGACAGCCAGGACGGTTACAAAGAGAAACCCTCTCTCCAAAAAAAAAAAAAAAAAAAGCCACCACCAACAGTCAAAGCTGGTCTTGAACTCCTGATCTTTTTTACTACTGCCATCACCCCAAACACTGGATTTATAGGTGTATACCACCACCATGCCCGTGGTTTCAGATTTTCTTTCAAAATGAGTTTTTCCTCTGGCCCTCATCCTTGGAAGGCTGCATCTGTGAACCGCTGGCTAGAATCACAGAGACTGCATTATTAGCCTAAGTCCCACCCTCTTCCTTCTATTGAAGTCCTACTGAGAAAGGGCAGGCGCTGGTTTGTCCCAGTCCAACTTTATTGCTCCAGACACAAAAGGGAAGGAGGACGTAGGTGGCAGTCTCCGCGCCATCGCTTTGTAGACACAGGGGAAGAGTTCTGTGCAGCGCCCCTGGAATCCTGGCCACCGCCAAAACATTCACACACACTCGGATAAATAAATACTGCCTGGCGGGCTCAACTGCTCCAGTCCTAGGATCTGGTCTGCCCTGTTTCTGCCCGCTGAAGGAGCATGGGGCGGGGGGCCTGTCCTCCGCTGTGCAGGCTTGGGGACTGGCGAGGACGGGTCCATGACCAGAGAAAAGAAGGGCGAGAACCAGGCAGGAGGCTCAGCTCAACAAGCAGCGTTCCCGTCTGCTCAGCTGTCGGCTCACCTTGCGACGTCTCTGCTCTAGGCCGCGTTCCAGGCGCTCATCTTCCTCTAGAGCGCTGGGGACAAGGGGTTCAAGTCAGTCTCAAAGTTGGCCCTACTTGCAAGCCCTGAGATTCCAGACATGGCATCCCAGGAGTGCGCCCCGAGGCCTCTCCAATTCCCGGAACCGACTCCAGGTCCCCGACTCACATTCGCTCCTTCTGATCCAGGTCCCGGACCAGCTCATCCCTCTGATTCACTAGTGACACCAGCTCCTCCAACAGGAGTTGTTCCCGGTGCTGCTGTGCGACAGTTTTCTGCCAGTCTAAGAGACCAGGAGCCCGAGTCAGGAGGGTGCCCACCCTAGCCCTGTTCTACCTCCAGCCTCTGCCGTCCCATGTCCCACCTTCAATGGCCAGCATGGCCCGCAGCTCTCGGCTCAGCAGTTCAAACCTCCGCTCCAAGTCCTGCTCCTCGATGCTGACGGGGAGGGGGCCAAGTCAGGCAGAGTGGGATGGGAACGCCCAAGGCTGTGACCACTTCATCTCTATCAGTTTCCACGGCGGGCTGGGAGAACCCCAGGGCTCTGTCCCAGTGCCCACTCAGAGCTACCAGTTGTTCAAGCTGCCCTCGGTTACACTCTAGATGTTTGTCGCTCCTTCCCCACATCCCTTTTATACAAAAGATACCCCAAAAGGATATTTGGATGAAAAAGTAAGCTAACATTGTTCTGGGGAACGAGAGCTGCCTCTGGCATGCAGGATGGTAAAGGCAACGTGGGGAAAGCGGCTTGCTGCCCCACTTCAGAACCTGTTTTTCTTACTGTAAAGCTAGGGTCGAATTGGAGGGCCTGTTTTCTCACTAAAGAGTAAAGGGGTGTTATGCTTTTATACAGTAAGTTAGATAAGACAAAATATTAGTAAGATTGCTGAGCAAAATCTTTCCCAAAAGATCTTTGCAGAGAGAAGAAAGACGTGACTAACCCTAAGCAGAGCTAAGATTCATTCTGTCTATGAGGCAGTCCTGAGCCAGCTGGGGGGGGCCAGCAGAGGCTCGGGGGGCCTAAGGAGGCGGGACTCACAGCAGCTGCAGCTGGTCCTGCCTCCGGATGAGTGCATTCTTCTTGTTGACCAGGGTGAACCACTCCTCAATCAGCACCTCCTCCTGCAGCCTGTTGGCACCTGAATGAGGCCAGGACAGTCACCAGAGCTGCCTCCTGTCGAGGCAGAGTGGCTGAGGATCGGGGAGGGGGCTTCTTGTTTCCCAGTGGCCTCAGAAACCTGAGTTACAATGCCTCCAAAAGGCTTCCTCCAGCCACCAGAGAGACTAGCTGTGTCTCCTCCCAAGGTCAGAAGTGCTGCAGGGCTGGGCAGACCTAGGGAGACTGTTGAGGAGTGGACCCCAAAATGCCTGTCCCACCTGATTCCATGAGGCTCCTCAGCTGCTTCTCCACCTCAGCAGCCCGCCCATCTATCTGCCTCTGCTCCTGTTCCAGGGCCTGGAGCTCTGCACACACATACTGACTCGTGTCCTGGAACCGTTGCTGGGAGTGAAGGGGGGAAGACAGGACAGTGAGCTCATCACAGGCCCTGCTCAGAAAATACCGCAGCAGTACCACCCACGCAGCCCTCCTTACCAGGCCAGCCTCTTCCCCTGGACTGGGGGGTGGCTCCTCTGAAGCCTCCTTCCCACCTGCAGATAGAAACCAGGCTAGGTTCTTCCAGCTAGCAGAAGACCCCAGGAATCCCCAGAAGGATTTGTGATTACCCAGAGCTAAGCTGGGTCACCACCCCCATCTCCCAAACCACTCACCGGAAGGCTGCTGCGGGGCTGTGGCTGTGCGTGGGCCTGAGTCAAGGCTGGAGTCAGGGTTCGGGTCTTCCTGTGGAAAAAGTCTGCTGAGAGCTGGGATGGGTTTCCAACAGTCCCAATCAGTGCAGATAACCACAGCCTCTCACACACAGGGGAGGGAGGATCCTTAGTCTCAGACACAGCTGCTCCAGCTACTTCTCCAGTCCCACGAGCACCTCCTCAGGGGAAAGGCTTCCTCAAGGAAAAGCCACGCCTTCACTCCCATCTGTGGGCCTGGGCCCACCCACCAAACGCTCCTTCAGAGGCGTTGAGTTGCTAACTATTTTAGGGTAAGTCAGTGGTAAGAGGTTGGGTAAGACGCAGCAGAGGCCTGTCTTCTCCCTCTTTCCCATTCCTTCAGAGAGTCCTCTCGGGTCATTTAGCTCTTGTCACTTAGCCAGTGCCCCTGAAGTGACAGAGAACTGCCTTGCTATCCTGAGTCAGGAGCTATCTTCCGGCCAGAAGGGGGCACCCTCCTACCTGATAGGATCCCATACCTAGAGGTAACAACGCTCTTGACAGAAGACTTTCATCCTGCAAGGGCCAAGTCGGGCCCCACTGTGCCCCATTCCCTGTTACTAGGGCCCAATTATTTTTACAAATATTTTAGATTTGTTTATTTTATGTGTTTGAGTGTTTTTCCTGCATGTATGTATGGGCAGCATATGGGTGCCCAGTATTTGCAGAGGTCAGAAGAGGGTGTCAGATGGCCTGAAGATCCCTTGGAACTGGAGTTATGAACCATTGTGTGGTGCTTAGAACCAAACCCAAGTCCTCTGCAAGAGCGTGCTCTTAACCCCTAAGCCTACTGCCCAGCCCCGGGGCCTAACTTTGAACTCATTAGGCAGCCTGGCTCCTTTCTCGATACTGCTAGCCCCTCTTCTGGGTCAGAGGTGTGGAATCTATAAGATTCGCTCACTGCTCACTCCAGTGTGTACCTCTCAGACAAGCCTTCCTGGCTCAGGTGCTATCTATCCTGTCTGGATTGGATTAGTTGTGGTGAGACCAGCCACCACCATGCCCTGCCATTCACCTCGCCCTTGAGCAGAGAGGTCTTCCCCAAACAGATATCAGAACAGTCACTCACGGTGAAGCTTTCTCCACACCCCATCTCAGCCCCATTTTGACACCATACAGTGGTGGCTTCACGTCGCTTTGCAAAGGGTGTCCACACTTTTGATACTTATCCTCAGGGTCAAAGCACAGAAAGGTTTAAGTGGCTTGCTGAGGATGGGGGGATGTTAGCTGTGTGGAGCCCAGCAGAGGGCGCCAATTAGTAATGCAAGCTCAGAACCCACGTTCACAGCCAACAGCACCCCCTTTGCCTCTTCATCTCCCTCAACTTCACTATTCCCACCCTTAAAAGGCAGGAATCATGGCTTCCTGTGAGGGGCGCCGTGGGAAGCTGAGGAATCGTGGGGATGGCCCACCTGACGGAGTAGGCAGAATCGGGGATGGAGAACACCAAATGTCAGCGGCATTTGTGCTTACTCACACCAGCCCTGGTGGGAATTCCAAAGCTGCTTCCTCATGTCTGACCTAAATTCCTCTTTTTATACTTTCTTTGATGGGCTGCCCTAGAAGCACCCATGTTTCTCACGCCGCTGCCTCTACCCCACCTCAGCCTCGAGGTGCCTGACCTCAGCCTACTCCAGGCCTTGGGGAGCTTCCAAGGGTGGGGTGAGGCTGAACACCCTCCCAAAGCAGTAGGTGCAAAAGTCAGCCAATGAGAGAGCCTCCTCGCGTCTCATGGGTCAAATACCTCTTGTGCAGCAAGGGCAGGGGGAGGGCCTGTTTTGGAAAGACCAGATGCTGGGACTCGGCCTGACTCCTGAGCCCTCCCCTCTGTGACTTAAAGAGCCACTGACCTACAAGCCAGCTGGGCTACAAGTCCTAGCGCTACCTCCTCCTGCAGGAAATGCCTCTCTGCCTCTCATTCCCAGCTTCACATGTCTCTGGACCGCCCCTCAGGGCTCCGATTCTCAGGCTGGCCTCACTGGCATCTGAGGTGTGAATGTCCTGAT